CAAGTGGAAACTTTCCAAGGTCCAAGTTTCTCACCAGAACGCAGGAATTCCATGGGCACTTCTTGACTGCGAAGGGATTGCGCCTCTTGGCTCTGTTTGGGCATGCCGATGATGGTTGGTAGAGACCGGGTGGGGATTCCCATGGCTGTTCTTCCTTCCTCTGGCCCCACCGCTCCACCCCACGCCTTCCCATCCCGCCCGGACTGCCCCCGTGGGCCCCCCCACTAGCTGGATGAGGTTCAGCACGCTGCGGGTGCTCATGGGCAGAATCCCCCTGCGGAGAGAAACAGGAGGCGGAGTTACAAGTTTATAATACATACTAATTCAACGTGAATAAAGTACATGCGTGTGCGTCTCCTGCCTGCTCGGGGAGGGGGGCGTGTGCATGGTGCCCGTGTTGGCTGCACTGGCGTGACTCGGGAGCTGGTTGGCTGATTGGTTCAAACCACTTCGACTTAACTGAGGCGCTGCGCTGCTGTTCATCCCTCGCATGGGAAACCCCAAAGCACCTACAGGGGGGTGGGGGGGTTAATGAGAGAGAGATACGCATGGATCCATACTGATCGGCCTATTGATCCTGACTGAACTCACTCTGTGGGCCGTATAAACTGGCTCCCAGCTGTGACAGCTGACCCGCCGAGGAAGCAGAGGAGGAGGCCAACATCTGGAGAGGGGAAGCACACACACAAGCGTTAACTCTCCTCACCACATCATGAGCTGTGAATACAACGGAACACATCTGCACACAGGAGTGAACATCTGGACGTGCTCCTCCATGACGGATGAGAGGCTACTTTAAAGAACGTCAGCACTAAAACAAAACCTTTTACGTTCCTCACTGAGAAAAATAAACAGCTTAAAGGCTGAAACTTGTCTAAAAAACAGAGGACGTACATCTGATAAAAGTGACAAGAATTTAACAAATAAGGAAGAAACAGGAGAATAAATCAACGTAATGTGTACATCACATAAAAGAACAGATTGAGTCACACGGGGACCTCACGTCTCGCCTTAAACCACAGAAGAAGAGTGTACTGGGGGACTCACGTCTTTGTCAGGCCGGTGTGGAGGGAACATGGACTGTTGGGTGTAGTAGAGGCTGGAGTCGTCTGCGTAGTCGCTCTCTATCCCTCCCTCCATAAACTTCTTCCGGTTAGCACCAAACATACCGCGTGTCACCTAGGTAACCACACACAGCAGGCGTTTCACCGCTCAGCCTCCATCACTGGCTCTTGTACTCGACATTAAACTGTTTTCAGTTCAGTTACTAAAGCCAACGTGATAATTAAAGCTTTTACTTTTAGGACTGAGCATCGTGCACGAGTTGGTCCTTCAGAGGCTCGTGAGAACATCCTCAACACTTGCAAAGACTTTATTGCCATTTTGAGTTACTTTTAAACGCATATTTGCACACATTTTGTTTTACTATTCAATCAATCATTACATTTGTATTAACGTTTGTATTAACTTGTTACTAGTAAGTTCAAAATCCAAAGTTATTGGATGGAAATAAACGTAATACTTCTGTTTGTTTCCACGCTCCTACACAATGGTAAATAATTGTTAGATTAGTCGACTAATGGAAAAATAGTCGATAAGATTAGTCGATTACAAAAATAATGGTTAGTTGCAGCGCTACTTCCGTCTATCATCTACTCTGCTTTAGACGTGTAAAGCAGCGTTATAATCATTCAGGATGCAGTGATGAAAACTTTCAACTATCAGCAACTCTGTGTGAAAGTAATGTGAGAAACGTCTTTACACACATTTTAACATTTGGTAAACAATAAGAGAGCAAAACAATCGCAGACAATCTGAATCTCTTTGATGCACAACGTGTGTTCATATTTTGGGAGGCGTGCAAGAAGCTTTCATCAGCTGTGTTACTGAAACCTTTATTGCACTTTTAAAGAAATAAATATCATGCAATAATGTTGTAAATGTGCATCCCAGGTTTGGGCAGCAACATGTGACTCATACAAACAAAAAAGTACTGCGTCCAACTCGGGTCTCCATGTGAACATTTCCTGTAGATTTAAGATGAACTCAAGCCAGTAATCATGGAAGCACCAGGATCGAAGTCGCACTGCTTCGATTCACAGGAGGCTCACTCACTCCTACTTCATAATGTGCGAAAGGAGATGTGGTGTAAAGATACTAACACACTAGAGACAGTGATCTGTCACGGTTGCTTTTGTTTACTACAGTGCGTTAGCCACACAGCTACAAGCCGATAGCTTTAGCCCACGGTGTAGCATCGACCCCAGTGAACAACGACTAACGTTCATTCATCACTTACATACCTGGGACATCATGTAAAACGTGTCTGTGGTGGCATGGAAGCGGTGTATAGAGGGTTAGAAGTTCATGTCCAGGTTGTGCTACCGATGAAGCTCAGAGTAAGCAAAGCGCTCTTGATTGGAAGCAACGTTAGATGTGCAGCAGTGTCGCAAAGAAAAAGGATGGCTAATGCTACACATTAATGCTAACACTAGCTGCGCTAATCTCTTCGAATGATTCCACCATTTAATTAACTAACACTACTGGTTAGCTTCAAAGCATGACTAAAGCGGTTCATGTCGATAGGAGTTCTGTATGTGATCGCTCTGAGCCGACATTGCCTTGTTAACTGTAAAATGTGTCAGGAGCTACGTGCTAGCCGAATAGCGTACGTTGGCTAAGAGCTAATTCTATGGGAATACACAGCCTGGGAGCTAACGCGTACTACCGAGCTAGCTAGTCGGCTAACACCCGCATAGGGACGCCACTACGGAGCCGGGGGTGAGCCGTATTAACGCTATCTGATGAACCGAGGACGTCGGTGTGAATGCAGTGAAGCAGACGGACCCCCGCTCGAGAGGGGACCGGGGAGGTGTGATTTTGTTCGGCTTTTGGGCCCGCGGTGCCTCCGTCGTTTAGCTAGTTCCCCCCGAACAACAACAAAAAGCAGCGGAAGCAGCCTGCTGGGTTTCTAACTCTTCTCCCCCGTTTGCCTCCGAGGTCCGGTTCCCTGATCACTTCCCACACCCGCTAGGCTTCACTCACAGACGCCTCGCCGGCTTTCAGGAGAGAAAATAAATTAAAAGAATAAAAGAAGGAGCTTACCGCATCAATCTTTCTTCTCCGCTACAATCCAAGATGGCCGTCATCTCTTTGCCAATCAGCGAGGATGCTGGGATGCCTGAGAGGCTCCATCACTCTACTCTACTTTACTCGCCTTGAATCTACTGTACTCTACTGTACTATACTTTAATATACGTCACTCTACTTGACTCTGCTATACTTCACTGTACTTTATTTTATTTCACTCTACTACACTCTACTGTGTTACTCGACACTGCAGAATCTTACTCTACTGTACTACACTTTACTCCACTCTATTTTATTTTCCACTCTAGTCTCCTGTACTTTACTCTACTCTACTCTACTCTACTCCACTCTACTTATTTCTGCTGTAATTGACTCAACTCTGACCTGACCTTTGAACCTCCATCACTTCACTCTATTCTACATATACGACCTGTGTTGTACTCTACTTTATACTCTCTGTACTATATTGTATACTTTATTATACTAAACATTTAAGAAATTAATACATTTTAACAGAAAAAAATCAAATAATTATAAAATAAATGAATGAAATTTAAAAGTAAAAAAGTTTAAAGATAATAATCAATAAAATAAACGTAACTCAAACGAAATAATTTAAATGAAACAAAATATAGTGGACATCTGGTTTAGTTTTGAATATTCACTTGGAGCCATGCCTCACTCTTCAAAGGGTAATGTACTTTATGACAGATGTTACTATTCATATAATTATCTTTATAAAACTATGATCATGATCATTTTATAATTTTTTATGACGTATGATGGAAAGTAACTCGGTGGATTTTACTTTTAAAGTAACGTAGCTGTTGTGACCTTTTTTCCCTTGCAAGGAAATGAACGGAGAAAGACATATTTGACTCAGAGCTTGTTCTTATTTACCGATTGTCTGTGCAAAATCTTCCACAACATCGTCTAACCTTGAGAGGAAATGTTTAGTATTTACAGGTACTGTTTTTAAACAAAGTCAACGTATCAGTCGTTAAGAATGAAAGAAAATAACAAAATTGCTAAACTATATAAACAGAGATGCGAATATAAATAAAAAAAGAATGCCAGTTATGTTAAACACAACATTACTCCACATTAGGTGATAGTTTTTAGAAATATAAAATGTTTAACTTATTTTTTAAATATTCTGCTGGAATAAATTAATCAGAATTTCCATATATACGCTGTTATTTTGTAAACACCGTAAAACCAAGCGGAAGCCATCTCATCTTAACTGTAGATTATTATCGTTCCTGATTGGACCATCGCGCTGACGCTCCCCCTAACCAATCAGCGAGCAGACCGTGGCTATATATTCAGGAATGAGGCGCTAGCAGATGTCACACACAGCTGCTAACTGAACCTACGCACCATGTCAGGAAGAGGAAAGACCGGAGCCGGGAAAGCCAGAGCCAAGGCCAAGACCCGCTCGTCCCGCGCCGGGCTCCAGTTCCCCGTGGGCCGCGTGCACAGGCACCTGAGGAAGGGTAACTACGCGCAGCGTGTCGGCGCCGGGGCTCCGGTGTACCTGGCGGCGGTGCTCGAGTACCTGACCGCTGAGATCCTGGAGCTGGCCGGAAACGCCGCCCGCGACAACAAGAAGACCCGCATCATCCCGCGTCACCTGCAGCTGGCTGTCCGCAACGACGAGGAGCTCAACAAGCTGCTGGGCGGAGTGACCATCGCTCAGGGCGGCGTGCTGCCCAACATCCAGGCGGTGCTGCTGCCCAAGAAGACCGAGAAGCCCGCCAAGAGCAAGTAGAGCTCCGCGCCGCTCCCGGAGAACCCAACGGCTCTTTTAAGAGCCACCCAAGTCCCTCAAAGAGACGGATCCTTCAACCATAATTTAGTCAGCTAATGTTGAGCAAAGCAAGGTTATCGTAATTGCATAAAAAAAAGCCTAATGACCACTTACACACTACGGTTGATTTCATCACGTACAATGCTATTGTATCTGATCTGAATTATCCATGTGTGGAACCAGACATAATATACTATATATAGACATAATATACTATGTATATTCTGACATAATATAGACATAATATACTATGTTTATTATGTCTATGTGTGGAAGTAAATGAGGTGCTATAAGCGCCATTTATTTTGCATCAACCGGAAACGCTCGCGCTTACACATTGTAGCTTTAGGCGCCCTGAAAAAGCGAGCCGGGCTGTTTGTTCTTCAATTACGTCCGCGAACATCGCCGCTCGCGATTTATTGTCACGCCCCTCTAAAGATGTCAATAATATCCTAAATGTTTATACAATTGGTCAGTAATAAGGAAGTTGCCGCAACACAATTTTCACTCCTGCACGTTTTACACTCGCAGCCATTGTGGAGCCTCAGTGCCGACAGCGATCGACGTGTATGAACGTCGCTGGTCGCAGGTCTGAGTGCGTGGCGGTGGACTTTATATAGACGCAGTACGGAGCCCGATCATTGGATGGTACTTAATGAATACGGATTGGGATCAATAGACGCATCACTTTCCCCGAGGGACAAAAGCAGCTGTGAAATGGGGTTCTACGTGTTAAACCCCCCACATGCAAATGAGGCTGCGCTGTCCCTCCTCTGCCATTGGCTGATCGTGGGCACGTGAACTCTCAGGCCTACATTTTTATATTGTATATATTCACCACATGCAGCCACTTGTTTTTCATGTTGTGGTTCATTGATAATAACTTATTATTTACAGTAAAGTTTAATTACAGAACTCTGTACGGAATGAACTGAACACAATACGTTTTTCAGCTTTTTTATGGTTAAAAGACAACGTTGTCAAGTGGATGTATTCCATTGATTTATTAATCTTTCAACACTAAACACAAAGCTAAACTACACAAAAAAGTAAACTAAACCTAAACTGAAAAATAAAACTGCTTTTTTTTTAGACTTTCCTTTATTATTTCCATCTCCATCATCTGGAGAAACTCAAGCACCAACAAACACGTCTGAGTATGTTCCAGTTTATTTCATAACTCGTCTGCATATATTATCAACAGTTTAACAAACAGGATTTCTTTTTTCTGTTAAAAACACAACGTAACATTGACGGGATGAGGTTTAACATGTGAAACACTTAAACCACGTCTACACGGAAACTTTTGGCTTATTGAGACCAATTTGGCAGCGTTTGTTTTGGGGCGTCAGTAGAAGGTTGATGGAGGGAGGCAGCTTCACGGGAGACGCACAGGCAGCAAAGACCGAGAGGACGAGGAGGACGAGGAGGACCTCCAGTACCGTTATCAGAACACAACGTCCTCCGGGGGAGACGAGGTGTTCGATCAAAACCATGCAATTACAAATAAAAGATATCAAACAGAAAAATGCGCCTACAAACGAGTGTTTAAAAGAAGACGTTTGGTTCGACTGGAAAAAGGACGCCGAGCTTCAGTTTGTGCCTCTGAAGGGATCAGACTTCATATTTGAGGGTTTTTATCAAAAGCGTTCTCCTCTCACCACGGTCCATCTACAGAACCCTCTCAGTCCTGGTCCTGGTCCTGCCGGGGGTCCTGTCCCTCCAGCGGGTCCAGCAACACATTGCGGGTCTCCAGAGAGGCGAAGCTCTGCTCCTGCAGGAGGATGTTGTTCTGGAGCTGAGTCCTCCTCCCTCCAGAACCCCAACTATGCCGAGATGGACCCTCTACTCTGTGATGGACTTGTGTCCTGTTGAAGGTCACATAGAGGACCAGGACCAAAATGAGCCTGATTCATATAGTGGATCAGGACTAAAGTGAGACTGGTTCGTATAGTGGATCAGGACTAAAGTGAGACTGGTTCGCATAGTGGATCGGGACTAAAGTGAGACTGGTTCATATAAAGGACCAGGACTACACTGAGCCTGGATCATATAGAGGCCCAGGACTAAAATAAGACTGGTTCATATAGTGGATCAGGACTAAAGTGATACTGGTTCACATAGAGGACCAGGACTAAAGTGATACTGGTTCACATAGAGGACCAGGACTAAAGTGATACTGGTTCATATAAAGGACCAGGACTACACTGAGCCTGGATCATATAGAGGCCCAGGACTAAAATAAGACTGGTTCATATAGTGGATCAGGACTAAAGTGATACTGGTTCACATAGAGGACCAGGACTAAAATGAGACTGGTTCACATAGAGGACCAGGACTAGACAGAGACAGATCCAGGACCAGTTCAAAGTTCCTTAATGAAAGGTAGTCCATTGTTAAAAGGTGGATTCCCGTAGAAGGCACAAACCGGGCCGGCGAGGAGTTCTGAGCTCTGTCTCGGTGCCTATGTGAGGAACTTGGACAGTAATGGAGGACGTTTGTAGGGTTTCAGGGACACGGCTGGACGTCTCTGATCTACACAGTACAAGGATAGCAGCTTTAAGGGTCCACAAGAACATTTCACCACAGCAGAAAACAGGACAATAAAACAGGAAACACTGCAAACGCTCAAATAGATGCCCGCGTGCGTCTCTAGAGAGAGGAACGTCTTTAATGGTTCTAAAAGTGATATCGTATTTCAGTCAGAACTATTCTCTTGTTCTCCTTGTTACCTTGTTTTTCCTCTTTTGCCCTTTCACATTAAAACCCTCATGACCAGGATCGCTTCACTTCCGTTAGAAGGCTTTTATTGTGAAACCTGAGTCTCATCTCACCTCTCAATATCTAGACGATATCTGATATTTCCATTATTTCCTCATGAGTTTGTGAACAACAGCAAACGTAAATGGACCAGAAGTACTGGAGAAATGTTGGACTGAAGAAGATCTGCGACTGTTCCGGCGCCGACGCTTCATGGGGAAGGAAATGTTTATTTATGTGCATAGTAGACTGTTTGATTTGACACACAGATGATGTTTCTGAATTAAAAGGAAAATATCACACATCAAGTTAGTCTCGATCTTTCATGTGCTGATTCTTGTTTGAGACAACAGGCTGTTAGTTTGGCCAGTTAGCCGTAAAGTCATCTTAACAAAGACGTTTCACCTGTAAACTGTATATACGAGGTGGAGGTAGCTATAATGGAATCACCCATTGGTTTGTGGACATAAGTGACCACAAGAGACCTGTCTATCAACGTGTAGCCCCGCCCCAAAGCTGCTTTATGGTCTGTTTGACTCTAAACGGACCATAAATAATTTACTGAATTAATGAACATGTTGCGTTGAAGACAACGTGAAACTAGAGACTGAGACCATAAACTCGTGTTTACAATGTTTACTGAGGGAATAAATCAGTCATTTCCTCATAGACGTCTATGGGAGCAGAGGAGTCGCCCCCTGCTGGTCACTACAGAGAAGTAGAGTCATTTCCTCATAGACGTCTATGGGAGCAGAGGAGTCGCCCCCTGCTGGTCACTGCAGAGAAGTAGAGTCATTTCCTCATAGACGTCTATGGGAGCAGAGGAGTCGCCCCCTGCTGGTCACTACAGAGAAGTAGAGTCATTTCCTCATAGACGTCTATGGGAGCAGAGGAGTCGCCCCCTGCTGGTCACTACAGAGAAGTAGAGTCATTTCCTCATAGACGTCTATGGGAGCAGAGGAGTCGCCCCCTGCTGGTCACTACAGAGAAGTAGAGTCATTTCCTCATAGACGTCTATGGGAGCAGAGGAGTCGCCCCCTGCTGGTCACTACAGAGAATGCCGCTTTAACTCGTGAAGCTTTGACTTCATTGACAGAACCAGATGCTTTTTTTCATCCGTGTGCGTCGTTAGATCTGAACTGAACTTGTTGTTCATGCTACGATATTCGTATATTCGCTGGCCGACATTGGAGATGATCAGAGCGACAGGGCGGGTTCACACGTTGCTTTTAACTCATGGAAGCCTCTCTAGTTTTACTTGCCTCTGCTTTTCCTAGTCAGCCCTTTGAAAGGCACAATTTCAAGAGAACCAATAAGCTGGTCTGCGTTATGCTGGCTGATGCATCAGATATTGACTCTTGAGCTTTGGCAAGAAGATATGTTCAAGACCAGAGTTGAACCGTGCAGTGAAATGTGGTGGAAAACTCTGATGCTAGTTGTTGTGGTTTAAAGCGGGAGAGAACGTCACCTTTCTAAAGACGGAAGACGCAGAGACGCTATGATTGGACGTCTACGGCTCACACGCGGCGGGTCGCTGCCATTGGACACGAGGGCATCGTTTGACATTGACGTCCCTGCATCTTCAGCCCCGATTAACGGAGCTTCTGAGGAACGACTTGAGACTGCTTTGGTTTTCAGATGTTGCTGTTTCGGCCCGAGATCTAAACCACGCATCTCGATTCCTCACGAGACCGTTGCTTCCGTTTGAGCGTTCGCAGCGCTTCCTCTCGCACTCTGGCAAACACACACTCAGTCATCGCTCTCAGCGCCACGCGTACTCATGCCACTTATAGTTGCTTGATATGTAGGAGGAAGTACAAAATAACAGCAAGAAGAACAGGCCACACAAAGGTAGAGAAATACCAAACACTTCCGATTCCAGACCCTGAAGGAGAAGAGTAGAAGGTGGCTCGTAGAGTCCAACGGCTGAGACGAGAGGAGCCTGTGGCGTCGGCCCGGACGGAGACCCTGAATGCATCGTGCTGTCTTTATACATCTGAGATAGACTATGGCTTTGGCTCCGGTCCGAGCAGGAGGAGGGCGAGTCCTGGGGACACTAAAAGTAGACAAATTCAGCGACAACCAAACGTCCTTTTCTCCCGGACGATCCGTCGTTCAGGTTCTTCCTTCGCTCATTGGTCTTTCATCGTTTTAGAAAAATAGAAATCAGGAAAACATCGTTACAAAAATAAACCAAAACGTTTGTCCAAAGTCTAAATCCACATGACAACTTGACATAAATATGGACTGATATTGCACAGCGAGGGATTCTCTTCTGATTTGAAGCAAATCACAACCACAATTTGTAGAAAATGATGAAATAAAATGATCAATATTGCATTTCCTGGTTAGGTTTTTTCTTTTCTTTTTTTAACTCCAGGCAGGAACAAGTGTGAGCTGGATCCAGACCCTCCTCCATCAGGCAGATCATCCATCAGAAAACTAGAAGCTTCACAAGTATCACTGGTGAACGTGGGTTGAAGGCACAGTGTTCCAGGAAAAGGTGGCGGATGCTGTTTGTCGAAGGGCGGCAGCAGTTAGCGTGTTTAGCGTGTTTAGCGTGTCCCGGTGGACGGGGGTTCCCTCCATGGCGGATCGACTCTCCTGATGATCGGAGGGCAGGGCGCCAACTCTCTGTGGAGACACGAGCAAACGAAACATAAACAACAACAAACAAACATCAGCGTCTCATTATCGGTTATTATTAACTGTCTTGTTCTCGGTTGGCGGTTCGAGGCGGATCGGACGCCATCGGCTCCTCTCAGCCCCCCTTCAACATCTTCCTCGAAGTTAATCGCTGGCGCAGCGGCAGATGGCGGCGGCGGCGGCGGCGGCCTCCCCGGCTCCTGTAGTTATGAATGCGCGCTCGGAGGCATTAAGTTGGATCAGTGTAATCCCAGCGCAGCATATGCAGCCAAATCCAGCAGGCCGAGGAACTTTCCTCCTTCACTTCCTCGCCAGATGCCCCACGAGGACACGGCGAGGTGTCAACAAGGTCACGGTGACACCAAACGATAAAGCTCCTCCTGCTCGCTGGTGGTGCCGACAGGACGGACCTGCTGAGAACACGGCGTCATGTCACAGGGCTGCTGTTTAACACCTGTATGGATTATCACACATCTGTACTTCTCATCCTGATTGTTGCTTATACAACGTGCGGTCAGAGCTGCCGTCATTTTACAACTTTTAAAATCATTTACGTTGATGTTTCAAGGGGCTTGGTTTATACGTACTTGTACTTGTACTTGTATACTGTGACATCTGCAGGCATCAGGGTCACACTTCTGCTGTTTCCAGCTGTGTGACGAACAATAGACCCAAAGTCCAACAAAAACCAACAATCTCCATTTCTGCACGGTTCACATGCACGACGTGACACGTGAACGCGCCGTGAGTCCCACACTCGCCCACCAGGTGAAGCTGCTGTGCTTCTCTCTTACGTTGGACGTTCCTTTGGCTTTTGGAGGAGAGACGCTGTTCACTTTATCTGCACACGTCCTCATTTCGTTGTTAACGCTCAAAGAAGAAGAACCATTGAAACGTGAAGAAGTCATTAAATCAATCAATAAATCTCCATGACAACTGGATCCCGTCTTGTTTACACTCAAGCGTCACATTGAGGGAGACGTGTATTCGTGTTCTCATTGAGACGAGGACAGTTACTGCCCCCCCCCACCCGTCCACCCCGTCCCCCCTGTCCCGCCGTCCCCCCTGTCCACCCCCACCCGTCACCCCGTCCCCCCAAGTATCTTAACGTGTCGCGTGTGTGAACATGCAGAGATCTCTGCACGTATGTTGCTTCAGTGGAGGAGTCTGAAGATAAAGACGATGTCCTCCATGTCTGACGTTTACTCGCTGGGAACACATGTGTGTGTGTGCGCGTGTGTGTGTGTGTGTGTGTGTGTGTGTGTGTGCGTGTGTGTGTGTGTGTGTGTGTGTGTGTGTGTGTGTGTGTGTGTGTGTGTGTGTGTGTGTGTGTGTGTGTGTGTGTGTGTGTGTGTGTGTGTGTGTGTGTGTGTGTGTGTGTGTGTGTGTGTGTGTGTGTGTGTGTGTGTGTGTGTGTGTGTGTGTGTGTGTGTGTGTGTGTGTGTGTGTGTGTGTGTGTGTGTGTGTGTGTGTGTGTGTGTGTGTGTGTGTGTGTGTGTGTGTGTGTGTGTGTGTGTGTGTGTGTGTGTGCGTGTGTGTGTGTGTGTGTGTGTGTGTGTGTGTGTGCGTGTGTGTGTGTGTGTGTGTGTGTGCGTGCGTGTGTGTGTGTATGTGTGTGCGTGTGCGTGTGTGTGTGTGTGTGTGTGTGTGTGCGTGTGTGTGCGTGTGTGTGTGTGCGTGTGTGTGTGTGTGTGTGTGTGTGTGCGCGTGCGTGTGTGTGTGTGTGTGCGTGTGTGTGTGTGTGTGTGTGTGTGTGCGTGTGTGTGCGTGTGTGTGTGTGCGTGTGTGTGTGTGTGTGTGTGTGTGTGTGTGTGTGTGTTAGATGTGATGATTCACTGCTCCGGTTGTGAAACATCACGTTAACCTGCAGGTGTTTTTTTTCACTGCTGTCAGCTCAGAATGTAGCAGAGGATTTATGATTTTTTCATCATTATTTTCTATATGGATTTATTCGTAGTTGCCACGGTTACAATGTTCCGTGCAGAGAGAGATGAGAGTGTGATTATCTTTTTGACCTTGACTCACGTATTCATTATTGTCATCATAATAAACGAGCTGGTAGTAAAGATGAAGGGCAGTCGAGTGTACGAAATGTCACTAATGATCCATCTGAGTCTTCAGAAGGACCCAATATTAAAATACATAAAATATTAATAATAAATATTTAAAAAGGTTAAATTGGAACATTTTATACAAAACACAACTATCAGTTCAAAATCTAATATGGTTTGTTGTAATAATCACAATAGACAATAGCAAGATAATAAAAGTTACTGTATCATTGTTTATATAGAATTCTGACAATAAAAATAATAGATGAAAAAATCACTTCCCTTAATATATAATAATGTATTACCTTATAAATTATTCAGGCGTAACACTCCTCATCACTTAACCTCCACTCATTGTTCCATAGAATCTGACATCTGACATCAAGCAAACTACTAACAAACGTCTGGGCAACATTCAACCAACATAAAATAACCTTAATGAGGCTTCTGCTTCCCAAAAAAATCACTGTGTCACCGTGTTTGTAACGTGTGGTGGTTTTGTGCTGATAGCTGAATTCAGAAGTCGCCCCCTGGTGGAAGTCGCCCCCTGGGGGAAGTCGCCCCCTGGTGGAAGTCGCCCCCTGGTGGAAGTCGCCCCCTGGGGGAAGTCG